AGTTGTGGGAGCCCACAAGGAGCCTGGGGGAGCTCGTTATGGGAGCCCACAAGGAGCCAAGGAGCCCGGGGGAGCTCGTTGTGGGTACCCCCCAGAATCAGGGAGGATTTTGGCCGGCGGACGCACAGAACCTTTGGACATTGGATTTACGCCTTCGGCAATAAAACCTGCCCCAGCGCGCTCTTCCAGAGAAACCAAGCGTTCTGGGGTCAGTTTTAAGCAAATCCGGAGGTTTTTAAGCGCCGATACAAGTGCTTGGATATCAGAGAGGCTGCGTGCGAGCGCGACAAGGGACCAGCGCGGCGGCGGGCAAACCCAAGCGCTAATTTTACGATTTCGGCTATCTAAGCGCCGCAGCGCGCTTCCGTAGCGAAGCCAAGCGTCCTGGGGCAGTTTCTAAGGAAATCCAATGGTTTTTAAGGGAAAGCCTAAACCCGCGGCAATCGGCCGCCGCCACAATCGGCCGGCAGGCCGATTGTGGCGGTGAGCTCGACTGGCAGCTCGCTCTCACTAGCAGATCCTTACAGGCGTGGCGATGCGCGCCCCCAGGGCCGCGCCTGCAGTTTAGGGCCTGCATTGGCGCAAGCGCGCGCTGGCTGCGATCCCCCCCATCAAGGTTGTTGGGGGGATCGCTGCCCAAGCCGCGCGCGCCACGGTTAGTCGCACTCCCGCTCCAGACCACCCAGAGTGAAGCCTTTTAGGGTTTAGGGTTTCTCCCCCCAACCCCCCTATCACGGGGGGCTGTCGAAGTGGCGCGCGCAAGCGATCGCCGACGCGGCCGTGGCACTGCGCATCCACGTGAGCACGCGCGCAGGGCGCGTGACGTAGGCGCGTCGGGTCGTCGCCTCGTCGAAGAGGCAGCCCTTGGCGATTTCGGCGTTGAGCTTCGCCGTTGCGCTGCCGCTGGCGCAGCCCATGCGTTGCTGCATGTGCCTTCGGCACTGGGTTGCGACACTGGGCTGTGGATGTTGGGATGCGCGCGCGCGGCCGCGGCCGTAGCAATGCGCGCCGATGCGAGCACGCGCGCAGGGTGCATGGCGCTGGCGCGTCAGGTCGCCTCGTCGATGAGGCAGCCGGTTGCACCTTCGGCGTGGAGCTTCGCCGGTGAACTGCCGCTGGCGCAGCAGTTCCACAGGGGTCCGGCATTTGCCTTCGGCATTGGACAGCAGCACTGCGAAGGCGCTGGCGCGGGAATCCCATGGTTCCCCGTGGGCCTGGAGCGAGTGGTTGCGCCGTCGGGCTCCTCGCTGACGGCGACGCGTACGGCAATTACATTCGCCCGCGGCTTTGGGTTTCGCCTTTGGGGTCGCCCCCCCGCTGAAGCGATTGCAATCATCGACGCAGCCGCCTTCGGCGCGAGCTTCGGACGGCTGGAGGGGGAGCGCGAGGGGGTGGGTCTGGCATGGCACCCCCTCGCTACGATGCGCGCGCATGGCTGCGGCAGCACCTCCATGGCAGAGCCCGTGGAATTCCTTGGGGGAACCTCTGGCAGCGCTGGGAGAGCGCCTGGAGCTTCCCCCCGGGGCCGCCTGGAACCGCCTGGGCACGCCTGTGAGCGCGCGGGGGCGCATGGGAGCGCCGCGTGGCGCCTTGGAGCGTTTGTGGGTGCTTGAGCGCTTCCGAGTCGTGGCAGCGCTGGGAACGCTGGGGAGCGCCTGCGGGCGCCTGGGAGCGCGCCAGGAGCGTGCCGGGAGCGCTTGGGAGCGCCTGCGAGCGCCTGGGAAGCGCTTGGGGGCGTGCCGGGAGCGCTTGGGAGCGCCTGGGAGCGCCTGGGAGCGCAGCCAGCGCGCGCCTGGGAACGCGCCGGTGCGTGCCGGGAGCGCCCAGGAGCGCTTTGGAACGCTTGGGAGCGCTTGGGAGCGCCTGGGGGCGCCTGGGAGCGTGTGGGAACGTGCCGAGAGCGCCTGGGAGCGTGCCGGGAGCGCCTGAAGCGCCGTGGAGCGCTTGGGGGCGTGCCGGGAGCGCCTGGGAGCGCTTGGAAGCGCTTGCGAGCGCCTGGAAGCGCCTGGGAGCGCCTGGGAGCGCCTGGGAACGCCAGGGAGCGCTTGGGAGCGTGCCGGGAGCGCCTGGAGAGCCCTTGGGGGCGCCTGGAGCGTTTGGAAGCGCTTGGAGCGCCGCATGCGGTAATTTCATAGGTTTGGAGCACCCAGGGAGCACCGCATGCTGTATTTTCATATGTTTGGAGCCCCAGGGGATGCAGCGGAGCGCAGGGGAGCCGCTTGCTAGGGCTGAGGGTTAGGGGTTCCTTTTCTTAGGAGAACACCACGGGGATGCACCGCGCGGCGTGCGAATTCCTCCTCAGCGGCTATCGCCGCTTCGTCGGTGCGGCGCACGCTGTAAGGGCAGGCTCGCTGAGCGCTCGGCCAGGCGCCACGGGCTTCTGACGATGCACCGCCCGTGGCTTGCAGTTTAGGGCCTGCCTGGGCGCATGCGCGCGCTGGCTGCGGGCGCATGCCCACCCCACATCAAGGTTGTCGGGGGGGATCGCTGCCCAAGCCGCGCGCGCTATGAACTTGCACTCCCGCCCCAGACCACCCACAGTAAAGCCCTTTAGGGTTTAGGGTTTCTCCCCCCAACCCCCCTATCAAGGGGGGCTTTCGTGTTGTGTGCGAATGCGAATATTCAGCGGGGAGCACGACGACGCGGTTTAGGCATTGCGTTCTTGGTACGCGCGCAAA